GTGGGAGGTAAACACAATTCACTGATTAACTCTAATAAACTTTGTTAAAAACCGTACATGTTACAATATATGTGACAGTTATATGGTGGGAGGTAAACACAATTCACTGATTAACTCTAATAAACTTTGTTAAAAACCGTACATGTTACAATATATGTGACAGTTATATGGTGGGAGGTAAACACAATTCACTGATTAACTCTAATAAACTTTGTTAAAAACCGTACATGTTACAATATATGTGACAGTTATATGGTGGGAGGTAAACACAATTCACTGATTAACTCTAGTAAACTTTGTTAAAAATCGTACATTTGACAGTATGACAGCTGGTGTCAATAATTAAAACGTTTGCTGGGGAAAAACGAACAAAAACTAAACGTTTTACTTTAAAAAAGGACATAAAACCAAAGATATATATATAAATAAAGCCAAATATGTTTTTGGCACATTTATTAAGTGTACAGTGTTAAGAAGCTTGAACTTTGTTTCAGGTAACTTAATCATTTCTTTAAGTATATTAGCTCGTTTTAAATATTTTTATAAACTCAACCACTATATCGGATATCTAATTTCTTATATCTTTTTACTCCAAATGGTTTTGAAGATCAGAAATGATTTTCCTAACGAAGCACTTTCCATGTTTCCGGATTAAACATATCATTTAAAGGTTTCGAGAAACATAGAAACAACTACTAGTCTCAAGAATGGGTGAATTTTTTTATTTTTTTGAAGTAGTATGATACACTGAGAGTATAATTCTTAAATATCATAGTATAAAATATACTCTGACATTCCATAATATTGCACGCATGTAAAGTAATACAAAATTAATCAGTTGTTTGTTTCGAAGCACAAAGCTACTCAAAGGGCCATCTGTGCTCTGCCCATCACGGGTATCGAAACCCGGTTTCTAGCAGTATAAGTCCGCAGAAATACCACTGTGCCCCTTGTGGGCATTGTAATAGTGCCATCATCATCTGGTATTCCCAGATAGTCACCCTTCCAAATACTAACAGGGACAAACATTGACTAGACGAGACCCGGATTTTTTCAATGTGGTATGAACGATGGCTATAATCAGTTGGAAATCATGGCATATTTATGTATTTAGATTTACAATTTATGATAAAGTGACATTTAAATGTGCATTATTAGCTGGAGTGAATTAAAACCAAATATACGTTATTAAAAACAGGTAACTATTAATTATCAACGTTTCAGTAGTGCGCTTTTCAATCTACCAATTGTAAATGTAAATTAAGACAAAAACTTATTTGTTCATTAGGGGGGTAAAAAAAGGGGGAATTGGAAGGCTAGAGATTTTGACCTTCGATGTATATTTGTCATTTTACCGTTGAAAAAAGGAATGTTTCAAAAAACGTACACGCGGCTCGCTGTTCCAGATTTCGCCCTGCTTTATTATTTCTTGGTTATCTTGGGTCTTTATATGGTTACCGCCATTTGCTTCCCCTGCACTTGAAAGAAACATTAGTCTCTTCAATATGTTATATAACCTTTTTTTTTGGATTCGTCCATTTTTTGTTTCTCTACCTTTAGCTGTATTCTGTTATGTAAGACTTTATATCTCTTCTCTTATTTTAATTGGTTCATATTATTTCCGTATAATTTTATGAATTATTCTATTTGTTAAATTCTCTATGCCCGTACTACATTTGAGTAACTAGGAAAGAACATTCCATTTTTTATAGCTTAATAACTATAAATTAATTTTTCTAAAGGAATAGAGTATTATACGATCTTATTGATACTAGCAGCCTTATTCACTATAGGTTGGTTTGACTTTCATTTATTGGTACTTGCAGGCTTGTTGACTATATGTTGGTTTAACTTTCATTTATTGGTACTTGAAACGTTATTAACTATAGGTTGGTTTATCTTTCATGCATTGGTACTAGCAGCCTTATTCACTATAGGTTGGTTTAACGTTCGCTTATTGGGTTAATTCGTGTAATAATCTCAAAATAATGTACTTAACTCTACAATAATGTATTCTTTTGAATTAGAACTTAATTATAAAAAAGATATAACTAACATATATAGAATTTTTTTTCATTGTTGATAGATAATGATTTATATTTTTCTGAATTTTGAACTGTAGCACTTATGATTATGTGTATAAAACGTAACAGCGTACAGTTACACCCTTCAAGAGTTCTTGTAAGTCTTTTGCTTATTACGGAGCCAATTATTTCTCTCATTAAAACCAATTTTGGTCAATATTTACTCCATGATTTTTATACGTTTTTTTTTTCTCATTCTTACTTCTTGCAAGCTTCAGTTTCTATACTGTTCTGTCATGCACATAATACCGCTTAAAATTAGCTATCTTCAATAGTTATCTTCTGTTTCAGTTCCCATTAGGTGTATTCATGAAGTTCGAGCCGGTAAGACCACCGAATTACTCAGAAGGAAAGATATAGCTGGTGGTTACGACGAAGCGTGTGCTTTTTCAATCATCTTCGGAAGCAGATATAAATCTGTTGATCTTATAGCTTCATCTGCTGACGAGGCTAACATTTGGATTTCGGGACTAAGTGTTCTCATTGGTGGATACAAAGGTATTTCTACGGCTTGTTAGTCTTAGCATATTCTGTTTTATATTCAAGTATAACCATTAGCATAATAATTTCGATTATCAATTTAATGGAGATGAATAAATATTTGTACTTTAGGTTCTTAAAAGTTTGTTTGTTTGTTTGCAGTTAACCACATAGCTGTACAATAGACTATCTGTACTCTTCCAACCACGAGTATCGAAACCTGGTTTCTAGCGTTGTAAGTCCGCAGAGATACCGCTGTACCACTGGGGGGGGGGGGGCATCTTAAAAGTAAACAAAGATCATGAATTGACACAAGGAGATCTATGTCAGTTTTTTAATGTTTATATATATATTTTTCGTTTTTTTTTTCAAGTTATTTTTGTGAGTTTGGTTCTAATCAACGGCTAAGACAGATTTATCGATTTTTTGTCAAGTGAAGTGATTTAGAATTTACATACGTTTAAAGAGGAGATAAATTGAAAATTTTATATGGTTATAAATAAACAACGTAAATGTGCCCTTAGAGCTGTACTATACGTACATCTACACGAAAGCTCATATATCTATATATGCCATAATATAGTGAATACAGAGTCCGGGCGTGGCCAATTGGTTAGTGTTTCGGTATTCGAGATATGTCATTACTTTTTTCTGTAATTATGTTACCCGATTCAAAGAAACGGAGAAACCTCTTGAGGAGGCGTGTACTACTCGTTCACTGCCTTCTTAGTGGCCAGAACCTCCAAACTAGGGACGGCTATACTTGAATCTTTGGTCAGTCTGGTTAAACAACCTATGCACAATGTGCCATTAAAGTTAAAAATTCCAATTGCCAGTGAAAGTTTTCACTTTGTGTTTTTTTCCACCAGTTCTTTCCTTGTTGTTGTTGTTGCTATCACTCGGTGTCATCAAAGCTAATTTGCTATGATAACCATGACCATTGAATTGAAAACTGAAACAGAGATTTTCCATAATATTTAGTTATACACGAGTTTCTATTCGCCATTCAAAGGAGCATTTCGCTACAGGGTCAAAATTCGAGGCACGTGCCGCTAATGCCTCTTCCCCGGTTCTGCCGCCTGTGTTTATGAATAATTCTTGCTGTATAGGAATTACTTTTCAAGTACTGTCTTATTCGTAATACCTCCTCTCTGTGCCATGTTAGTGAGACTGTCCACCTTTACTAGATTTAAACTGCAATTATTTACAGGCTCTAATTTTGTCTATGGACAGAAGCAGTTTTGTTACTATAACCTGAAAAATAAAACTTGTAGAAACTGCTTTAAAAACAGGCAAAAAACCGCTAGGGAGTTACGAACAGAAGTGGTCTTTTCGCTATAACATTACCTATAAAAATACTATAGAAAGTACTTTGAAGAAGCCGCTAGGAAAGTATGTACAAAAGTGTTCTTGTCGCTATAACATTACCTGTAAACAAATACTATAGAAAGTACTTTAAAGAAGCCGCTAGGATGGTGTGTACATAAGTGGTCTTGTCGCTATAACATTACCTGTAAATATACCATAGAAAGTACTTTAAAGAAGCCGTTAGGAAGGCATGTACAAAAGTGGTCTTGTCGCTATAACATTACCTGTAAATATACCAAAGAAAGTACTTTGAAGAAGCCGCTAGGAAGGTGTGTACAAAAGTGGTCTTGACCCTATAACATTACCTGTAAAAATACCATAGAAAGTACTTTAAAAAAGCCGCTAAGAAGGTATTTACAAAAGTGGTCTTGTCGCTATAACATTACCTGTAAAAATAGCGCAGATAGCCCTCGAGAAGCTCTGCGTGATTGTTTGTAATTAAGCACAAAGCTACACAATGGGCTATCTGTGATCTGCACACCACGGGTATCGAAACCCGGATTCTAGCGTTGTAAGTCCGCAGACATACCGCTGTGCCACTGGGGGCGCTCTGCATGAACAACTGATATCAGTTTATAGATCTGGATTTTCATCACTCTACTCATAATTCATTGACTCCGAATAATTGTGACCCAATATTACATACAAAGGTTTTAAATTATTTCTAGATTACTGACATTATGAAAAAAAAGCCATGTAATTTTTGTACGAATTACTTCGTTGAGTGTAGGTTTAGTCAAGATAATGGCCGGTTGTATAATTTTGTGATAATGTTAATGACTTATGTGACTCATTCAAATAATGAATTGAGTAATGACTTCATTTCCGTGTTGAAACTTTACTGATCACAGTGATCCATGCCCCCCAATGACATAGCGTGATGTCTGCGGTAGAAACCGGGTTTCGATACCCGTGGTGCGCAGAGCACAGATAGCCCATTGTGGTTAACTTCAAACAAACTAAAGTATTTATTCATTTGATTATTAGTAAAACGGTCGTTTTTTTATTGTTATATAATACATATTTTAATAATATCGACAATTCTCTGTAAAGTTACATGAAACTCTAACTCTTTCTCGTCGTCTTCAACTTAAGTATAACAGTATTTTCAGTAATGTTTGGAATTACGTTATAGATAAATATAAGTAGCAAAAAGTTAGGTGTGGAAAAGCTGAAATGTATCAGTGTTTTAACTGTTCATGAAGACAGGAGCCTGGCATGGCCTGGTGGTTAGGGTATTCGACTCGCAGGTTCTAGTGCCTGGCATGGCCTGGTGGTTAGGGTGCTCGACTCGCAGATTCTAGTGCCTGGCATGGCCTGGTGGTTAGGGTGCTCGAC